TGATCTTCTTGATATAGTGGGTCATGGCTCTCCACGGCTTTCTTTTCTGTAACATCTTTGAATTTCTATCATTTCTTGGAAAATAGAATGTAAGAGCAATCATAGTTCTTCTTGTCATAGATAGTCGTGGTTCTCCACACTTTCCTTTGCTGCAATATCTATGAACTTCTATTTGTTCTAGGGAAACATAGCAGAATAGTAACCATTGATTTCTCAGGATAGAAAAGTATTCATTCAGATGAAAATACATTGAAAGTGCGCTGATCTCACAATTCTCGATAATAACCTTAACAACAGGACCATACACAGTATTAGCAATCATCGTCTATCATAGCACAATGCGGTAACGGGCTAATAAAGGATCCAACATCTACTAGGAATAGGTTGATTTAAAATCCGAAAGATACAAATAACTCTAATTTTATATATATATATATATATATATCATAAAGAAACAATTTATATAAATAATTAAATAGCAATGTTAATGTGTTTAATGGCGAAATCACTTCGGTGACAGGATTTAATGAGACATTAATTAATATAAATTCCTTGAATAATAAGATCCTTATTTACAGTCAGGTCTCCCCTGTACAAGGCCCAGGGGTCACTCGAGGTAGAGGGTTATATTAAGAGGTAAGTTATATGGATAAGAGGGGAATATAGCGGTTAACTTGAAAAGGTTAAGATTATAATGATATAATTGTACCCTGAAGATGACAATTTGAAATTGTCGAAAGTACTTGGTATGTGTCATTCATCTGACAACAACTCGAATATAATGATATTATTATTCAAGGAATTAATAGTAAGTTAAATGCCCCATTAAGACTTGGGAACGAAGCGATTTCGCCATTAATCACATTAACATTGCTATTTAATTCTTTTTGTATAAATTGTTTCTTTATGATATATATATATATATATATATATATATATATATATATATATATATATATATAATATATATTCATATATATATATATATATATATATATATATATATATATATATATGGGTATAACAGTATAATTGTCCAAATCGTGTAACACCAAAAATGTTAGATTAATTTTAGATTAAGCTCTTAAACGTTGTATCTTAGAAATGATTAAAAATATCTTACTGAAATTCGCATCATTAATTATTATGGAATTGCCATCGTTAATTAATCATACCTAAGGATCAGAATCTCATGTCCTGGAGTAACAAGGGCCTCACATGTTTCATGTACGATTTCAATTTCAAGTCTTTTTTCACAGCTCTTTGGTGTGGACTGTTATAGCTGTAACTCCTCTGGCACGTACCAAAGGTCTTATGGATTGAGTTGAAAGATATGCAAGAATCACAAAATCAAAACCACTGAGAGATGCTATGACCACCAACCAGGTTCAGTTACCCAAAATAACGATGTAACTGACAGGGAAATAAAAACTAACAGACCTGATAGTATCATAAAAGACAAGAAATTCAAGGATGTGCAAGCTTATTGACATAGCAGTACCATCTGAGAGAAACACCTCCATGAAAATTATCGAGAAATTGTCTAAATCCAAGGATCTGGAGATCGAGATTAACAGGATGTGAGGAATGAAGACTGTACCAATAGTAATCGGAGCACTGGGCCTCGCGAGAAAAGGAACGGGCAGTTTTATTAACAGTGTCCCAGGTAACATCTTCATGCAAATTGCCCAGAAAATCGTCCTACTAGAACATCCCATATACTAAGAAAAGTGCTATCAATTAAATGACAATTCTCTTATAGGGACTAATGATCATAGTTTGACCCGGTTCTACAGGATACAAAGCAGGAAGCATAACATACACAAATAATAATAATAATAATAATAATAATAATAATAATTACTTTAAAATACAAACAGACGGTGCAATCAAAGCTAATAGACCTGGCATCGTGATTAGAGATCACAAAGACTTCATGTGCCTCCTTATTGACATGGCTGACCCTGGAGACTGCAACGTATCTTTGAAGATCTTCAAAATCTATTAAAATACAAGGAACTTGAAATCGAAATCTAAAAAATGTGGCACATGAAGACATTAAGAATTCCAGTTGTAGTTGGAGCCCTCAGATAGATTGGAAAAGATTCCAACAGACTCATTGCAAGAATCCCTGGTAGCCCATACCTTAAAGAAATACGAAAAATTGTACTCACAAGTACAGCCCACGCCTGCCCAGTAGAAAATGTCATGATGCCATTTCTGACCTAACAATAAGACTCATGCTTGCTAACTAGAAATTATCAAGCACCCACACTGAAAAACTGCTAAACCGAAATGCAGATTCTGTGATAAACATTCAGAAATAACTGACCATCTTCTCTCAGGTTGCACGGTGTTAACACACTGTTTAAAAAACGGGCTTTTTACTCAAAATTAGTGTATTCACTAAAAATAATGCTTGAATCAAATTATGTTTAGAAATATACAGGGTGTTTCAAAAAATTTGATATCATTTCAAAATCTCCTTCAAATGAATTCAAATTTTAATAGCATCTTTATGCTTAATGTTTGTTTTATGTTTTTGTGTTTTTCTTATTTGTATTTTTATGTTCTTTAATCTTTAATCTTTTTCTTTACAGGTATAAAAATGCTATTTACTAGAAGAAAAAGGCGTTTTGTGTTCACATAATCCACATGCTTTTGAATTTCTCATTCAGATTTGGAAGAATAAATCTTATGATCTTCAACATTAATACTTTTTAATTTCATTTGCCTTAATCATGTACTTTCTGTGATATTTACATCTATATCAAATTTTTTGAAACACTCTGTATATCAGCAAGGAATAAGTAAGTTTTTGATGGCATTTTAACTAAAAACTAAAACGACCGGTTTCGACCCAGGATCTTATCAAATTTATTTTTGGGGTATATCTTAGAGGACTAAAAGGATGAAATAAGGAAATGAGCAAAAAAAAAAAAAAAAAAAAAAAAGACAAGAGTTCAATCACATTTAAACCCAACAAGCAATCTCTCTGTTTGCAGAGAAAAGGCTTACAAGATCCAATGTAAATGGACTCCAATGCCTTAAGATGAAATATTGAGTGCGACCTTGACAGAATGCTAAAACGGTCGACATTCAAACCATACACAAATTCCCTACTGTTTATAGCATGCTGTGCTATGGAAGACCCGAATGTATTCACCAGCTGAATACCACTAGCGTCCGGATTCAAAATTCTGAGGTGCGGGATAAATGGTGTTTAATTCTGAAATCCCAACGTTGTGTAATCATATCCACAACTACACTCAAATTTATACACAACGGAATTAATATGGTATGGAGGTAAAACATCTTTACGAATGGATAACAAAATCGGCCAAGTAAAAAATATTACTCTCACATTAGAGGCAAAATAACATTTACCGATAGAACGTGAAATTCGTCTAGCTAAAGTCTCACCTTCTGTCCCAGTATAAGTATACGCAAATAATTGCACAAACAATTGCACACACACACACACACACACACACACACACACACACACACACACACACACACATATATATATATATATATATATATATTATTCGGACTATTGTCCTCATCTTTGTTGCCATATTTATCACAACGTTCCGGCCATTGTACGCCTCCGCCTTCTTCAGGAAGTTGGAATGTCGAACTGAACTCTTTATTTTGCTCACTGGGGTAGAGTGTTCTAGTTCCACATGCCATGAACTAGAACAGTCTACTCCAGTGAGTGAAATAAAGGGTTCAGTTCGACATTCCAACCACCTGAAGAAGGCCGGAGCGTACAACGATCGAAACGTTGTGATAAATATGGCGACAAAGATGAGGACAATAGTCCGAATAATATACATAGTGTACATAATACCTCATCTCAGAAATATAGACAATAGAATTGGCGAAACCGCTTGGATATAGAGAACATTGAAACAGTTTTTGCACATTGTATTTTGAGAATATGAAACGCTTATACGAACATGAGAAAAACTGAATAAAATTTTGAATCGATTACCTTGCTAGTTGTCTTTAATTAAACTTATATAAAAGACAGAATATTGGTACCCTAATAAACAATTATAGACACACACATACACACACACACACATATATATATATATAGAGAGAGAGAGACAGAGACAAAGAGAGAGAGAGACAGAGACAGACAGATAGTTTGAAGGATAGACTGAGATAGATAGATAGATAGATAGATAGATAGATAGATAGATAGATAGATAGATAGATAGAGAAAGAGAGAAAAGGATACACTGAGATAGATAGATAGATAGATAGATAGATAGATAGATAGATAGATAGATAGATAGATATCAATTTAATATAGTGATATTAACTTAGCAGAAGACCTAGTTGCCATTTTTAGGTAATGGGTTACATAAGGAAAATCCCTACACATGTTCAAAAGACCAGCGAGAATTGTGAACATGATGATAGTCGAACCTGTCTCCTTCAATTGAGAAAATTTATATTAAAACGTAATTTGGTGTTTGAACACTTTTGAAAACACCTGGAATTATTGAAAATCGATTAGTTTTTGGTCGAAAACAATTGCTTTTAACAAGTTTCGACAGGTTACAGAATTTATATTTTAAAAAATGTTTTTCAAAAACTTAAGAAAATATGGTAAAATCTCGTTGAAATAGACTGCATGTCTTAGGAGTTTAAAAATGTAAGTCGAGTTTAGAAGGAACCAGAAACAAGGAATAAAGCTCTACTCTTGTTCAAGAGATCAGAGGGGAGGGTGAACCGGGTGATAGGCGAAACTATCTACTATTTAGAAAAGAGGATATCGAGAGGGTGTCAGATATTTGTAAGGACTGTAGGCTTGGTAAGGAACAGTCACTATCAACAGCAGATGAGTGCAGATGCGTGATACCACGAATGTACACGTCTAGTCAAACTCAGAAATTCGGGCAAGGCTAGCTCATTTGAGAAAACTAATGGACCCACTGGGAAAAGGGAGGTGATGTAGGTTTCTCGGGGTGTACTGGCATCCCTTACCCACAAAGATCAATATGAATACATTGTGATAGATAGATAGATAGATAGATAGATAGATAGAGAGAGAGAGAGAGAGAGAGAGAGGAGAGGAAAGAGAGGCACTGAGATAGATAGAGAGAGAGAGAGAGGGATACACTGAGATAGATAGATAGATAGATAGATAGATAGATAGATATTGAAACACTGAGATAGAGAGAGAGAGAGAGTGAGGGAGAAGGAGGGAGATGCACTGAGATAGATAGAGAGAGGGGGAGAGAGAGGGGAGAGAGAGAGGGATACACTGAGATAGATAGATAGCTAGCTAGATAGATAGATATTGAAACACTGAGATAGAGAGAGAGAGAGAGAGAGGGAGAAGAGAGAGAGGGAGAAGAGAGAGAGGGATACACTGAGATAGATAGATAGATAGATAGATAGATAGATAGATAGATAGATAATGAAGAGTAACTCCATCCTGATTAATATATCTTTGTTATTAACATTGAACTAGATAGATAGATAGATAGATAGATAGATAGATAGATAGATAGATAGATAGATAGATAGATAGATATTGAAACACTGACATAGATAGATAGAGAGAGTGAGAGAGGGTGGAGAGAGAGGGATACACTGAGATAGATAGATAGATAGATAGATAGATAGATAGATAGATAGATAGATAGAGAGAGAGAGAGAGGTGGAGAGAGAGGGATAAACTGAGATAGATAGATAGATAGATAGATAGATAGATAGATAGATAGATAGATAGATATGGATACACTGATATAGATAGATAGATATGGATACACTGATATAGATAGATAGATCGATAGATAGATAGATAGATATGGATACACTGAGATAGATAGATAGATAGATAGATAGATAGATAGATAGATAGATAGATATCATTGCAATATTTCTGATTTGATACTGTACATAATAATGCCTAACTGATGATTTTAACTAAAGATCTGTTTCCCGTCTTTATCGAAACTTATTTCCCTGGCTTTACGTCGATAATATCATTGGCAACTGACTTGATTAGCATTTCCTTCATTGGACACGTTTAAACATTTATAAAAGGGTAGATAGATCCAAATAGATTAAATGATATTTATCGAACAGGGAAACTCTACGTGTCTTCAAATCTATCTCGCTACCTATCAGCTCGGTGAATAGTTCATTTAATTTTCTCAACGACGGAGGGAGAAAAAACATACAAAAAAAAAAACTGAAACTAAATATATAAAAAGCTGTATAGAGAATTTTATTCTTATCTACAACAAAGGAAAAAACGGGCAGATCAAATGTGCTTAACTGATTTCGAAAGATTACAACAATGGAAAGCAAACAGACATAGACAGATAAGAATTTTAAAGGAAATAAGTTTAAAAAAAAATATAAGTTCGGAGAAGAAAAAAAACGTAAATATAAACTCCAGCCTCTTGCCAACTGATGACAGCAAATGTAACGTCAATCCGAGCTTAGAACTAATCCATTGATTACGATATTCATTTGTCAGTGGTATGAACTTGTTAGTTTAACTCTTTATATAAGAGACGATACGCCTTATTAAAAATTGTTTAACAAAGAAAATCATCAAAGCAGACGACACCCGTTAAAGAACTATGCAGCTAAAATGGCGTCGGCTGGAGAGCGATCATAAACAAAATAGACTACTCATAAAATGCTTTTCGAGTATTTATTTTTCTGGTTTTAAGCTTTCGCCAGTTGAGCACTATGAGGAAAGGGAATTTTTAAAACAGTAGCTGTTCCTACTTATAAGGCATCGCTCTTCATATATGAAGTGAGCACTCTGGCTGCTGATTTGGCGTTTATATTCATGCCGTATATAATACGTTTAAAAAATTTCCTTTCTCTGCCTTGCACCGATAGATTAGTATAGTTTCTGAGTGATGCCAAATCGGTCGAGTCTCGATGCTGGCTTGAAGCAATCGGATGTCTAGCCACACAGATGAGCTCTGATACAGCGAAACAGGCTTATATATATATATATATATATATATATATATATATATATATATATATATATATATATGTAAAGTTATAGCCTCTTTCCGTCTGTTTGTTATCGAGGTTACTTTGATAAGTATATTTCATTTTCATCAAAGGGGTCCCCGAGAGTCGGTAGTAGTGCACAAAATCCTCACTGAATTTTTTTTCCCTTTGATTTAAATTTAATTTAAATTTGAACAAAGGTATGCCTATTCCCAAAATATAGAAGGAGAAAGCCAGAAAATGTCTTTAGCAACTAGAAGAATTTTGAAACGCTATTGTATATTCATATGGTCAACTGAAAAAAAAGACGTCAAATTACTTTAAGTTTGAAGAGAATATTTTTACGTGTAGAAATATTGTTTGTATTGTTGCGTTGACGGATTCAACCATTTTCTAGTTACTAACGATATCTTTTTTTTTGTTTTGTATAGATATTTTGTTTCAAAAATTCATTTTTTTTTTTACCTTTGGACAAAACGTCGGATAAAACTACAGTTTTTTTATTGTCTTTTTTTTTTTACATATTGTCTTTTCTACAGGTAAATTCTGGGAATTTTTTACATATATATATATATATATATATATATATATATATATATATATATATATATATATGTTAAGACATTGTTATGTTTATACATTCTTTTTGTAGATACAAATATTTAAGTAAATGCTCTGTTTATAATAAACAGTATTAAACAACATTTAGCGGCATGAATATCCGAGAAATTTTCACAGAAAATATTCGTCTTCCGATAGGATTCGAACCTGTATCCTATACGGAACCGTCATTTAGCTTGACGTGCCTTTACAATAAACAATAGCATTAATATTTTTTAATAATTAGATGAATGATAATTACTAACAAGATGAAACTAGACTTCAGAACATTATAAAAAAATGCTCAACACCAATAGACAAGAGCAAAAATTTAGCCTAATTATTTATTACAAAAAATTTAAAACCACCAATCTTATTGTTAAAATTAATTCACCTCTTAGATCAATATTAAATAGAATAAATATTATTTACGAATGTAACTGTCCATTAAGGAATTGTGCTTCTGATCAATTACAATTCGTAAACAATTATATTAGCCAAACCACAACAAGTTTGACAAGAAGACTCACACTACATCTTTCTGATCATAGATCAATTAAGTCTCATATAAATACTCACGTCGACCTACTGGACCCTATTCGTAACATATTTGTTGATAATATAAATATAATAGAATTGTCATGTAAAAAAAAGGCTAAAAATAATGGAAGCCTTATTATTAAAAACAAAAAAAAACAACACTTAATAATATCAACTATGAACATGGACACAAAATCTTGACCATGTTTTGAAAATAAAACATTCTATAATACTAAATACATAGATACAACAATCTATTTCCAGTTAAAAGTTAATATAATTCATCCTTGAAAATTGCTGAATGTATAGCCGAAAGCAATTATGAGTAACTCATAATTAATACAATAGTCAATAAAAATGAACACTCTACCGTCCCTGTCTAAATGATTGGATTTCTCTGTATCCTTGGAAACAGGAAATTATGAATTCATATGTGCGTTTAAAAGTCAGTAAATTTAAAAATAAGTTATTCCAAAATTCGCTTGAAGATGAAATGGAACTGTTAAATGTAGACGTCTCTTCTACTCCAATAGCTTCATGTCTCGCACCTCTCACCCGTGGAACTCCCTTCCCTATTCCAGTTTCCCTGAGAGCTATAATCTCCAGCTATTCAAATATAATGTCAATCGACATCTCTAGTTGCCTTGATCTATCCACTACCCTTCTCCTCATCCTTTCTTCTATCACTCCTATCTAATCTTGCTCCAAATTTTCTGTAACCCCTTGCGTCTTAGTGGCTTCCTGCCTTGCTTGGGGTGAAACGCTTATATATATATATATATATATATATATATATATATATAAACCAACCATCCTCGTAATTCTGGTATTATAGAACAGTGGATGTTTGAATGTGAGGCTGACACTAAAACTTGCCGATGAGAAATCTCTGATATGGTTTTAAAATCCTTATCGTTGATAGCAGCCAACAAAGGGTGGTGTTCTTGTACACGGCTCGACGACTGGCTTAGATTGCACAGGCTGAACCGTGTGCAGTGTGTCATAAGACGCATCGGGTTGATTCTTTAGCTTTGTTCACTTCGCCCACGGAGTTGGCTCAAAGTTAAAATTTTTCATGCGCTTCACATCGCGCATGCGTGGAAGAGGAGCATGAACGGGTGGATACGTTTTTTCCCTTTTTTTTTCTTTTTGCTTACGATTCTGTCTATAGCAAAAGAGATAAGTCATCTAAAAACTGTATATTAGGCAAAGGAAATTAAGGCATCGCCAACATAAACGACATAACGCGCGGCTAACGTCTTGTATAAAATAATTTCTCAGCAGGTGCTCTATTTAACGATTTATTGAAGTCAGCCTAATCTATACTGGGGACGCAATATTAAAGAACAGAGCGGGTATAAATCTCACTGGTAATATCTGTTTATATCTCAGACACACGGCCGAGTGGATACAGATGTTTGTTAGAACCAGTGACAAGACCCAAAGTGTTGTGAGTTCAATACCAAGCCACAGCAGTCGTGAACCCAGTTGAGTTAAAAGGAAATACATTTCCGGTAGAGGCACGGCACGTGGAACTAGAACAATTTACACCAGTGGACGAAATAATGGTTTCGGTTCGAAATTCCAAATACCGACAATTTATGGTGGTTTTCTGGTGGTCTGAATCTGGTATTATCACTTATAGTTTTCTGGAATCTAATCCGGGCATAACTGCCAATGTTTCTCAAACTGCTACCAACATTAACAGAGCATGATGTGAAGGATTCACTTGTGATCGAAGGTACGGGTGTCTGAAGTTCCGCAGTGGGGATACGAGTCTTGAATATCAAGGTGGTAGAGGATGTCCATCTGGAGTAGACAATCAACGTGTGAAAAAAGCAGGCGAACAAAACCCAGATCGAAGAAATATCTCAGATACTGGATCTTAACATTTCAAAAATATCGAACCATCTCAGTAAAATTGGTAAGGTGAAGAAATTCGATAAATGGGTTTCACATGAAATCAGTGATTGTTAAACAGTTCAATATTTTGTAGAGTGTTCGATGCTGCATCTGCGAAATTCGAATGATTGATTTCTTGATGGAATCGTGATTTGGGGTTAGAACGGATCCTTTATAAGAATCGTAAACGATCAGCTCAATGAGTACATCACGACAAAGAACACAGATATTCCAAAGAGACACTTTACCAACAGAAATTCGACCAGTAGTGTTTAATTGATCAGATCTAATTCTGTTTCATGACAATGCTCGCCAAATGTTGCTTGGATGATACTGCAGAAGCTCACCGATTTGGGATTCAAGAATTTACCAATTCCACCATATTCACCTGGTCTCATACCCACTGACTTCCACTTTTCCAAGAATCGTGACAAGTTTTTAAGGCAAAAAATATTCCATTACAAAGAAGATGCAAAAACTGAATTCAAAGATTTCTTGGCGTCTAAGGTTGATAATCCGTTAAAAAAAAACAAATCAATCAACAATTGGCAAGGTGAATAAAATCGATAAATGGGTTCCATATAAAGATGGTGAAAGTCAAAGTGTTTGATATTTTGAAGTGTGTTCGATGCTGCATCTGTCAAATTCGAATGATTGATTTCTTGATCGAATCTTGAATTAGGGTTAGAAACGGATCCTTTATAAGAATCGTAAACAATCAGTTCAATGGGTACATCACGACGACACAGATATTCCAAAGAGACACTTTACCAACAGAAGATTATTGGTGATTGTCTACGGGTCCCATTGGCTTTATCTATTACATTTTTTTTGGATTTTAACCAGAA